TCTCGGAGGGCCCGTGTGCAAGTTGCGCACGTTAAAGATCCCTTGGTGGTCTAAAATCGATAAGAGTAGGCTTCGGCCGCCACCCGGGCAAAATTCAAAATTTCCTGCCAACTGAAAATATTAGGAGTGTCCCGCGCGCTCATATGACCTATGCAGTTGCGAGCGCCGTAAAACACTTTACAAAAACAAAAAAACAAACAATCTAATCTTCTGGCGCACATATGACCTTATGCAGTTGCGAGCGCCGTAAAACCTCTACTAAAACTAACCCTTTGGCACATCTCTTATTTTGGGATCTTATATAACTTAGATGTTTTGTAATTGGACAAAAGCATTGATATAACCATACAACAAGGCGAAACAACAAACATGATTCAATGTTTACCTCTGACATCGACAGCGTAAAGTAACATGCCAGAGAAGGTAAAGTTAGTAAAGTATTGTGGTGTTGTGGTGTAAGTACCGTAAGACTCAAACTAAAACTACAAAAAAAAGAAAGAAAAATCTTTACTTTTCTAGTAGTTCAAAAGTTTGGTAAGAATGTTATGGCGCTCGCAACTACATAATATTGACTGGGGAATCTCGTGGTCTAAATGTTCAATGTTCGCCTCGCATTCAACAGGTCGCAGGTTCGAAACCTGAGATCGACGAGAAATTTTCTAATCTAAAAAACTATTCTCCTTTCATTTCTTTCCCTGCTCTCTAATCATGTTCTGTCGTCCTTATGCATCATTTCACAATCTTTGAGATCATCATTTTCCATCGTCCATCTTCCTCTACGTAATCGACAAGTTCATAATTTCATACATGTATTATGAGCGTTTATTTGTCTTCCTCCAGGAGGTTTCGCGTCTTGTGACACCATCTTCCTCTGCGTAGTCAATAAGGTCATTATGAGCGTGTATTTATGTTTCTCTATCCCCATCTCTCCCCCCTGTGTCTTTCTCCAGGAGGCTTCGCGTCTCTAGACACCATCTTCCTTTACGACCGGGTGTACCAGACGAGTATGTCCACCGTCCTTTTCATCCGGATTCTCCACTTCCTGGCTCCCTTGGCCGTCAACTCCCACCTCTTCGTCATGCGCAAGACGCTATTGAGGTCAAGGTCAGAGCTCGTCAGCCTGGGAATCACACTGGGCGTGTGTCTGGTCAGCTTCTCTGCGTTCTTCTACCTGTTCGAGGGTCCAGTCTTCAAGAATTTTAGGACAAGTATGGTGATATTATGTGTTATGACATGGTGTAATCAGGGGTTTGTCAGTTTTTTAGCATATGGAGTTATTGGTATCATCTTAATGCTTGTTTATTTTTGTCTTCCTTTTGATAAAAAATACCCATTTATCTTGAATAGAAGTCAAGATGTTAGCGATTGGAGGAGGTGGGGGTCACTTGGTGTCAGAGTTTAATTGGCAAGATAATGACCGCCAAAATTGAGTGTCCTTGGAAAAAGCAAATGTACATAATTTATTGTGCTTTTGATCAATGTTTTTCATTTAAAAAACATATAAGGATGTGTTTTTAAAAGGGCATAAAAGTCCTGAGCCAAAGGAAGATAATTCGAAAACGGATTGAAAAAATAAGTTTATTCCATTTCATTATTTTGAGGAGCGCTAAATGTCACCACTATGCCTCACAATTTTGATGCCTCACCTTTGTGAGCTTTGTTCTACAGGAAGAGAAGATGATTGTAAATTTGTTACAACCCAGTCGAGATTATTTTAGTTCATTAACGAGGCCGGCGTCTGTGGTGTAACAGTTAGACGCTTCGCCGTTATAAACAGCGGACCTGAGTTTGATTCCCGTTTGATGAGGATTTATATCTAGTGTCTCAGTCTATCTGTTGCTGGGACGTTGTATCCCTATCAGCCCTGGTTGGCCTGACAGGCAGGGTTGAAGCTGTATGTTAACCCTATCAAAACTTCGTGTTTTACTATCGTATCCATACGACGTGGGGAACTCTGTGCCACCACTTTCCAAAGGGGAAATTAATTTACTCGTTAATCCTATCCGTACGCTTTGCATAGCAGTCTGTCAAAATGATTTTTGAGAAATACTGAAAGTTTCAAAGAGATCTTCGCTCTAGAAATATTCTAAAATGTGAAGAATACAACCTCTGGGGTACAAAATGACCCCAAGCGTAAGGATGGGGTTAAATTATTAACTGAAAGTTTCAAAGAGATCTTTGCAATAGAAGTATTCTAAAATGTGAAGAAGAATGTGAAGTACAAAATGACCCCAGGCGTACGGATAGGGTTAAACTGTTACTAAAACTACCCTCAACCCGTTCCCCACCCACCCTCTCTTCATCTACGTGCCAGTGACAAGCTCACTCACAACATTGTGGACACTTCTGTTGGGCGTGTTGAGATAGAGAGGCAAACAGAGACAGATAGAGATTGACAGACAACCATTTTAATACACAGTCCAACCTGTTGTTACGCGCACATGCATGAGACAATGACCTACACAGACTGGCACTTCTCATTCCCCCCTCACGTTTTTCTTCTCTTTTAAAGACGCCCACCTGTCTTATACAGCCATTTTCTCCTCGACAATGGATGGCTGTCTTATACAAATTAAACAGTATCTCCAGCTATACACATATCTGTATTATTCAGCTCCATTTAGATTGTGCTTCGCTTTCTAGATATTACAATGACCAAGAATTCGGCCAGATTTCGAAAATGGCGTTTGTCGCATTTTGTCATTAAACTGTTCACTGTTCTTCGTACCTCAATTATTCACCTTCTTTCTCTCTCACCAATCCCCCATCCCCCTCCCCCCCCCCCCCCCCCCCATCTGTTTCCCTCTCTCTCGGCATGCACGTGCCAGTGATGAGCTCACTCACAACGTTGTTGACGCTTCTGCTGGGCATGACCAAGTACAGAGACATAAGCTTCACCTCGAGTGAACTTTTCCAGGTACGTGCCGTCCTTTGCATAAAGTGATATTATTTTACGTCTCTGTCGATACAATTTACGTTATTTAGAAAGCAAATTTAGCTGATCTTGCTATTTGAATGTACTTATCCACATTCCTATTCAGAAGAAAAATAAACATGGAAAACAAATCGTGTTAGCTGTACATGGAAAAAAAAAATTAATGTATAGATCTAGATCTAGATTTTTACGAGTTTCCCGGTTTCAAACCTTGTACCAAGTAGTTGAAGAAGTAAATAGTTGATGAAGTTGACAGCTGCTGCTGTCGGATGTTTGTTTTGTATCTTATATTTATTATTGTTGTGGGGGGGGGGGTCATTTTTTTTTTTTTGGGGGGGGCCTTTATTTAGGGGGTGTCTTTTTTTTGGAAGGGGGGAGGGTTCTTTTTATTATTGTTGTTTCAGTTCTTTGTGATTATTGGGTCTCCTTTGTTTTAGTATTTTTGTCATTTTCTAGTCTCTTTTTGCTTCCTTATGTTGTGGCTTATTTGGGTTTTAATACTTTTTTTCTAGTTTTTTGTGAATTGGATGGGGTAGGTGGTTGGTGGGAGATATTGCATACTGGTAAAGTACATAGCATTGAACTATGATAATAAAGCCGTTTTTCTGTAATCCTCAGGGCATTCTCTATCGCATGATGTACGCCTCCTTTAGCATTATCTCTACCATTGTGGTCCTCAACTTTGCCATCAGCATGCTCAACGTTTCTATGGAAACGATAAAAGGCGTTGAGGCCTTCCTGTGCGCTGACAAGTCGAAATCCGATGAATATTTACGGCCCAATGTCAAGGACATGGAGGACGGCAGAGACGAGATTGACAGAGAGTTAGGTGCCTTCGTATGGGAGAAAATTACCTCTATTTTTACGTCCTTGAAAAGGATTAAACAAAAGGATACAGAAAAAGATGAAGGTCAGTAAGACGTGTTTTTGTGGAGAAAGATTATTTTCATATTTTTGTCTGTGAGTCTGTCTGTTTGTCTGTCAGTCTGTCTGTCTATCTCTCTGTCTGTCTGTCTGTCTGTCTGTCTGTCTCTCTCTCTCTCTCTCTCTCTCTCTCTCTCTCTCTCTCTCTCTCTCTCTCCCTTTCTCCCCCTCTCTCTGTCTCTCTCTGTTTCTGTCTCTGTCTCTGTCTCTGTCTCTCTCTCTCTCTCTCTCTCTTTCTCTCTCTCTCTCTCTCTCTCTCTCTCTCTCTCTCTCTCTCTGTCTCTCTCTCTGTACGATCACTAGACTACCAACGCCTCGATTCGGAGATTCCTTCTTGCTAATTGGGAATGGTTTGAATACTCCTGTAACACTGTTAACAAGATTTTTTTCTCATAACTTGCACGAGTCAGAATATGGTCGCTTTTAAGGACAAGCGGGCTAACCCAGATTTCGGGGGCTTCTAGAAATCTTGATCTACACCAAAAGTGGGCATTGTCCTACCTATAGGAGAAGTTTGCTTTCACTGGTGTGTATATTTGTTTGGTTATAGAGAAAACTCTCCTTGTCTTTTAAAGAATATGAGCAAGGGGCAAAAACTTTACCTTCGATTTTCTCAAAACAGCATTTTTCGGGACAGCCCCCTTGTGCTTACAAGCGACCATATATAGCCCAATTGAAAAGCGAGTTTTCAAAACAATGTTTTGCCTTCTTTTGCAAGTTATGAGATATTGACCAGGATAATTAAAAGTGTTTGTATGTACTGGTAAAGCTACTACCAACAGCTCGCAGAGTCAAATAAGCGGGATTTGAAAAATTAAAAAACATCCCCTTTCGTCCCTCAGAAAATCAAGGGAAGGAATGGGGATTAGAACAAATGTCATCTCGCCATTGCTAGATACTCTTATTGCGAACTTGGTTACAAAAGTAACTCGATTTTCATCAAAAGAAGGACTGATTTGAGGTTTCAAAAGCACTCTTCTAATGACCTGGCTTTTCTTTTTCTAGGGCAGCGTGATTTCTACTGAAAGCTGAAGTAGAGTCAGCGACCTTGATAGGCTCTCTGATTTTTCCAGTTGCTACGTTAACTCAGTTGGCATCATGCTGACCTACGGTTCGGATGGCCTGTGTTCGAATCACAGACTGGGTGTTTCTGAACTTGGATCGTTTTGTGGAGTTTCTAAGGCTCTCAACCAATTTGGCTTGGTCCTATTGGAGATGGGCGTTAAATTCAAAAATTCCGCCTCTTAAATCACTTGATAGTGTTGAAAGAGGTGTTAAACGCCTTACATTTAATAAACCTGATTTCCCACCAAATGTTCAAACATCCTAGTGGATGCAAAGGAGAGCCAATAGCTCTGTGGTGTCATTTAGGAATTTGATGCCGTGTTGCGCTTGGGCCATTTGCCTGTAGTTCTTCTTTTTACGTGAAAGGGATTATATTTTATTGAATACCTTACCTCCTCCTTTCTGTGAGGTTACAGTACCCCCCACCCCTAAAAATAGTCCATAGAGGTAGTTATTATATCGAAGAGGCCAACCTTCAAAATGATTATTCTCCTTATTCCTGCCTTTCTCATCGTGGATCAGGGTAAAGGACACGAACAGACACTTTACACTTTCCCTGTCCTGGGCTAGCCTCTCGATAATTATTATTTCATGTCTTCCACCTTTTCCATAGATCACTCTATGTGCCTCTTCTCTATGTTCTACGTGGCCTTCCCCTTGATCTCTTACTCTAAAAAGTGATCGCAGACTGTGTTCAATAGTAGGCCTTACTGTAGAAAATAATCAAATCACTTTGTTTCAGATCCGCAGCCAAGTCCCGAGAGAGCCATCCGGGGTGACGTGGAGAATATGAATATTGCCCAACGGGTGAGTATTTTGAGGATTTATCATTTCGCTTTGTTAAATCTATCTATCTATCTATCTATCTATCTATCTATCTATCTATCTATCTATCTATCTATGCCATTTACCATGTATCTATTATTTTCCTATACGGCAGCCAGTTGTCAAACAGAGAAGGGGTTGTCTTAGACAGGTTGACGTATTGAACAAGCAATGTCATTATAATAGGGCCATTAGAACAGGTTCGACTTCAAAATGGTAAAGTGTGCTCTGATTTCATTTTTATCACGACGCGGTGGAATTAGCGCATGTCGATATTTAAGCATAATATGTTGTTATTGATGTCATCATAAAGCTTGCTTTTATCTTTATAATACGTCAAGGTATAAAACTGTGATTGAAAGAGGTGGGGGCGCCTGGTGTCAGAGATAAAAAAATTAGCTAGGAAATGGCCGTCAAAGTTTGGGGAATTCCAAAGCTTGAGTGTCCTTGGAAATTGCAAATTTGCATTTATAATGCTTTAAATCAATCATTTTCGGTCAAATCCACGTAAAAATCAGTTTTAAATGGACATAAAAGGTGTTGAACTGAGAAAAAAATTCCACAAAAACTACCCAAGGGACGGATTTGAAAAACGTCGGTGTCTATGACTTCATTAAAGTCTAATGGTCGAGTGCCTAATGTCACAGTGATGCCACATGCAGTTGCGAGCGCCGTAAAACTCTTACTAAACTAACTAAATTTAAGAAGCCTCATGCAGTTGCGAGCGCCGTAAAACTCTAACTAAACTAACTAAACTAATGATGCCACACATTAATTTGTTCGTCAACAGTTCGAGGAGATGGTGGAGCGGCTGACGTCATGGGACCCAACGTTACCCACAATGCTCCTGAGGGGAAGCGACACTTCCGACACCGCCACTGAGCATTATCTTCAGAGATGGAAGCGGAAACTGGCTGCAGCCAAGACCAACAGCAGCAGCAGCATCCCCACTCATGTAGAGAACACCAACAAGGGCTCAGCCGGCAAGAATAACAGCACTACTGATGTAATCATCACCCCTTCCTTTGTCAAAAACGACAACATCAGCAACACCAGCACAACCACAATCGCAACCATCATAAACAGTACCAACAACACCATCAACACCACATCCCCTTTAGCAACAGCCAACAACAGCAGCAACAACGTCGTGACCAGCAGCAGCATCATCACCATTACCCCAACATCTTCATCTGAAGGACACCAAAAAATTGGCGGAAAAAACAAACACAGACAGTTGCCGCCAAAATTCCGCTCACTTCCGCCTTTACCTCCTTCCCCGGACGAGCAACAACCACCACCGCCTGTGTCATCAGACGTCTCGGATTCTGTGACTTCTAACTTGTAACACAGAAAAGGAAAAAGGACAGACAGCGCAAACAATTTAATATTGTTGTGATATTTTGTTATAAACTTGACTAATTCGCAGAAGTTTCTTGTTGACTCAGAGTAACGCCTTCATTTCCTTCCAGAAAATTTTCCAGATGATTCCAGGATGGAATTCATGATTTTTTCTAGATAGTGTCAGGGAAGATTTTGTGATTTAATTTGAGGCCGGAATTTTTCTGGAACATTTTCACGATTTTTTCAGAAACATTTTCAAGACTTTTCAGGAATATTTTCAGGAATGAATTCTGGAATTTCCAACGAATTATTTTAAGGACTGGGGTTTTTTTTATTTCAGTAATATTTCAGGAATAGAACTAGTTTCAGGAAAACTTCAAGAATGATTTCGTGAATAGTTTCAGGAACAATTTCAGGATTTTTTCTTAAATGTTATCAGGAAAGATTTCGTGAATGATTTAGGGAATTTTTCTGGAATATTTAGAGAAACGTTTTCAGTAATGATTTCGAGAAAAACTTCAGTCATTTGTTGTTCAGGAATATTAAGATAAACATTTTCAGTAATTGTTTCAGGATTGATTTCTGTAACAGTTTCTGGAACTTTTCAGGGATATTTATAAAAATTTCTTCTTTAAATCCTGTCATACCGGTGTCCAGACAAAGGTGTTCAAGGGTCTAAATAATGTTGAAGGGGACGTAAAACGTATCGACTGCATCAAAATAAAAACGATGCAGTGAGCTCCCTTGAGATGGAGAATCTAGTTTTCGAGCTGGGTTTAGCGCGTCCGCTCAAGGACCGTCCTAGCGAGAATTTTAACCTATCTGAAAGATTTCCTCTCCGACATTGCTTGACATTCTAATGCTGAACGCAATTAGAAGTCACTCGGCTTCAGGTTGTATTTCTTTTGTTTTTTTGTTTCCACCGAGGATTTCTTGGCGTGCAGCGGTTAGGCATCCCGCTGTCACAAGAAGGAGTCCCAAATTCTATTCCTGAGAGAGAAAAAAATGGTATCGAGTATCTCGCTCTTTCTTCCGGGATATACTCTCTCTCTCTCTTCTCTCTCTCTCTCTCTCTCTCTCTCTCACACAC